TGAATGACTAAACGAAGATCCTGGCCTTAAACTAACCGATAATCTCCATCATTCAACCCCTCAAACACTGCACCATTCACTGCCGGATTCCATTCGGATGATACAGGAATGCATTGATCGACAGGCGTCTATAATGAAAAGATTCTTAGGCATGTCGCCCACAACGAAGCAAAACCCCAAGAAAAAAAAAACAGTAATCTTACCGATTGCTTGGCGGTGTTAATGACTTTCACTTTGTACGCAACGATCAAGCCATTTGGATCGACCGGATTCATCCAGGTGATTCTGATGTTCGATGTGCCGTTGAGTATTTCAACATTGATAGTGCTGTTGTCTACGCGATCCGCATCAACTACAATGTGAAAAGTTGTTGATCACAAGGGAATGAAAAAAGTGTAGATAAAATTATTCAAGTCCATATATTACAATAATCCGTTCTGAGAAAATGTCGAAGTAACCTCGGATTGAACAAGTCCTAGTATATGTTCGTGAAGATAGCTGCCCTCAGCCCCGTAAAAAAAGTTATCTTCTCTTAGCTGCTTTGCTTGTATTACGCCAAACTTCATGTATCTTTACCTAGTTGTCTAAGAACAGCACCAAGTCAGCCCAACACCATGCCTTTGCCTTAAGAAGTTCAAAAACTCAAAGACCCCCACTATGTAAAGTTAGGGTTAAATAAAAAGATATCAAGAACATGGCACATCGCCAAACAGCAATGAGTTCTCTCGCAAAAAAAAGGCGCAGAAAAAAAAACAACACGCAGAAAAGCTCAAATTATTCGTAGAAAAAAACTGAAGCAAAAACTGCAATTACCAATCGGCTTGGTTCGAACATATTGCCAGGCTCTCCTCGTGGAGCAATGTGTCTCTGGAGCAGTGGGATCTTGACATACGGTAATTTGGATCTAAAAGGTAGAGATATATCCAATGAGCTGAGCTTGATCTCTCACTAGCCCGAAACGCTTATAAACTTACAAAATATCTAGTGTAGTGCTTCAAGCCCTTGATAACGTACGATGTTGCGGTGACGTTAGCCATGAGTGCATTACTTTTTTTAAATTCCGGCATCTTAGCAAGCTAAATCCATAGCAATTAAGGGCATTAGCGCTGATTTGAAGAGGTAGAAAAGTTAGGGTATACTTTTAGACTGCTCACCTCATTCTTCTTGAAACTTTTCGCCTTCTTGGTCGAATTCGCATTTGTAGTGT